GAGAGAGAGAGAGAGAGAGAGAGAGAGAGAGAGAGAGAGAGAGAGAGAGAGAAGAAGAGAGAGACGAGAGAGAGAGAGAGAGAAGAGAGAGAGAGAAAAGAAGAGAGAGAGAGAGAGAGAAAAGAAGAGACAGAGAGAGAAAAGAAGAACAGAGAGAGAAAAGAAGAACAGAGAGAGAAAAGAAGAGACAGAGAGAGAAAAGAAGAGACAGACAGACAGAGAAAAGAAGAGACAGACAGACAGAGAAAAGAAGAGAAAGACAGACAGAGAAAAGAAGAGACAGACAGACAGAGAAAAGAAGAGACAGACAGACAGAGAAAAGAAGAGACAGACAGACAGAGAAAAGAAGAGACAGACAGACAGAGAAAAGAAGAGACAGACAGACAGAGAAAAGAAGAGACAGACAGACAGAGAAAAGAAGAGACAGACAGACAGAGAAAAGAAGAGACAGACAGACAGAGAAAAGAAGAGACAGACAGACAGGGAAAAGAAGAGACAGACAGACAGAGAAAAGAAGAGACAGACAGACAGAGAAAAGAAGAGACAGACAGACAGAGAAAAGAAGAGACAGACAGACAGAGAAAAGAAGAGACAGACAGACAGAGAAAAGAAGAGACAGACAGACAGAGAAAAGAAGAGACAGACAGACAGAGAAAAGAAGAGACAGACAGACAGAGAAAAGAAGAGACAGACAGACAGAGAAAAGAAGAGAGAGAGAGAGAGAGAGAGAGAGAGAGAGAGAGAGAGAGAGAGAGAGAGAGAGAGAGAGAGAGAGAGAGAGAGAGAGAGAGAGAGAGAGAGAGAGAGAGAGAGAGAGAGAGAGAGAGAGAGAGGGGGGGGGGGGAGAGAGCAGAACACAGCTGGAAGGGGCAAAATCCTTGACACAGAAAGGATGAGAGAAAATTAGAGAGAGAGGAGAGAAAAGAGAGGCTACCAGGGACAAGGAGAGAAAAATGAAAAGAGGAGAGAAAAGAGAATGGCTAGAAAGGACATGACACTTGACAATGGAAAAAAGAAGAGAGGACTGAAGAGATAGATAGAAGAGAGAGAAAAAGAAGAGGGGAGAGAAGTCTGAAGAGAGGGAAGATAGAAGAGGAGAGAATAGTAAGCAGAAGGAAAAACGGAATAAAAGTGAAAAACAAGAAACTACAGGAAAAGGAGAAGAGAACAGAGCAGAAGAAATAGGAGGAAGTAGTGATGAAACAGAACAAGAGAAACATGAAAAGTTTGAGAATAGAGGAAGAAAAAGGAGAGATTAGAACTGGGAAAGAAGACAAAATAATAAAAAAATTAAACTTGCCTAATAACTACAAACATCTTACCTCAATGCACTAATATCAACAATGGATATGTTGAGATCCCGAGTGCGGAGATAGTTAAGGATTGTGCTGAAGAGGGAGGGGTCACGGTCAATGAAAATTGCCCCGGATTCATCCCTCAAAGTTGAGATTCGGCCTGACAGAAGTGATGTAAAAAATGTATCGGGAACCCATGTGAGAGTATGTCTGGATGTACTAAACCTGGTGAAGAAAAAGAAAATTATTATATGCTTCTTGTTACATATTTTAAAATTTCACTCACATCTATTATTTTAAATATTTAACAGCTTTTATTACAGGAGATATATGATTTATCCTATAGCAGAGAAAAGATGAATTCAGCAAGTATTATCAGTTTATTACAACTAAATACTTTAAATAATATACAGTTCACAGTAGTTTTAGGCAATTTTGTTTATACACAGGTGGTTCCACAAGTTTAGTCACCAAGGATTCAATTAGTAGGCCTAACTGACCTGACCTGATATAGTATCTTGTCAGTGTATCCTATTCCTTGAATTTTCAGAGAAGAGTTTTCTCTTTTTCAATATCATTAATATCATCAGATCTAATTATCACTGATATTATGATTATTCTGATGCATGTATATGCAGGATATCCTTGCATTACTGGTTTAAGATTTAGCATGTGAATATAAACAAATAAATATATTGTTTTATGTATAAAGTATGTATTGCATTGATAGACAGCTATTAACTTCATGGGAATAAAAATATAAAACAACATAATAGGCTCCTTATCAAGACAGGATTGCAACTATGCTCTCTTTATAAATGTCTTCATAAAATCCTATGTACTCACTCATCATAAATATGTAAACATAATAAAAGATAATTGCAGTAATGCAATTCTTATCTTGGTGATATATGACTACTTTAAATCAATGACTCTCTTATGACAAAGCACTTGGCCATAATAGATTTTTAAGGGGATACACTGACAAGATACTATTTCATATATCTTACACAGATTGAATTGATGGTTTTAATAAAATGTAACAGTAGCATATCTTTAAAACCAAACCTTATGTAGACTTTGACAATTAACACAACATAAAACAACAAAGGAACTGACAGAAGCTGCGCTCTCTGTATTGTATCACAGTCCTTTTACGCTAAATATAACAAACATAAAACAACACCAAAATTAATAACCTTAAG